GCCGTGCCCCCCCGGGGGTGGGTGTGCTGGTGGTGGACTTCTGGGAGTGGGAGTCAACCCATCTTCAAGCGGCCAAGGTTGAGAAACCCTACTCCAGGGAGCTATAACGTTGCTTGTCCGCACAGAGGGAAAACCCACTGCACCCAGTGCCCCTTGCTGAAAAGTTGGCAGGCCTAATGCTATAAAAATTCAAAATCCTGGATCTTTTGGGATAGGCTGGATCAGCATTTGGCCAGCTGGGGAATTCTGGGAGTTGGAGTCCACCCATCTTCAAGCGGCCAAGGTTGAGAAACACTGCCTTAGACAAAAAGGAGGAAAATGACAGCTAAGGGGGGAATACAGGATCAATCCTCTCTCTTCCTATGGCCCCACGCATTCCCCTCTGCCTCGGTGGCTTCTGGAGGTCATGGGGTGCCGAAGAGTTGGCGCCGCTGGCTTTGCACCTCCAAGGGTTTTGCACCGTCCAGATTTCAAAAATCAAATCATCCCGCCCGCCCCCGTTCCTCTTCCCCTTCATTCTTTTCCAGATCAGCAACGTCGCCTTTTTCCTCCTGGCGCCCACGATGTTATGGCTGAACACCGATTACATCGCCTACCGTCCCACACCGATTCGGGGCTTTGTCATCTTGCAAATCTTCATCGGTAGGTGGCCAAGAAGCCGGAGCCTTGCTTGCCCCCAGGAGCAGAAGGCCGGGCCCAAATCCCCAACCTGCCTGTCAGCCCTGCGAGGTAGTCCAGGCGAGCAGCACACCCGGGACCACTTGCCTGCCTTCACCGTAAGGTTACATTAACGGGATCTTGCAGGACTCAAAGCGTTTCTCCCCTCCTCTCCTTTTACTCTCTGGAAAACTAGGGAGGGCCCCTTTATTTATTTACTTACTTCCTTACTTTAATTTCGATAGCCGCCCGTCCCAACCGAGTGGGTGGCTTTTGTGATCGCTCTGGGCGGCGGCGAACCATGAACACAATTAAAGCGAGCGCAATCCAGCGCAAACCAAATGCTGTTCGCACGGCAGCGGAGGAAAGGCTTCCATAACGATCAGCATAATCATACCCTGATGCGAAGCCCCTTCGGAGACGCTCCCCACGCGCTGCCTCCTTCCGCGTGCCGGTCGCCCCGTCCGGCCCGGCCCGGCCCGGCCCGGCCCGG